AAAGAGCAAAGACAGATAATTGGCATACCCACTCCTCTTGCCTCCCCGACACAGTCTCTGAGGTCCTAAGTTAACAGTCACTCTCAAGAGTGACAGAGCATATAAACTGCATACAGGAGCAGGTTAGTGTGCAACCCAAGTCTGAACTGGGAGCACACTTCTAAATGGCTTTTCATTCAACAAGTGGTTACTGAGCATCTCACATACTCCAGACGTTTCTATAGGGCTGATATACATCAACTAGAGGCCTGGTGCACAAATTTGTGCAATAGTGGGGTCTCTTGGCCTGGCCTGCGAGATTAGGCCGAAACTGGCTCTCCAACATCCCCCAACGGGTCCTGGATTGCAAGAGGGCACAGGCCAGGCCGAGGGACCCTACCGGTGCACAATCGGGGCCAGGGAAGGATGCTGGAAGTTGGCCAGCTTGGGAGGTAATATGGGAGGGCTCCAGGGCGTGTCTGGCCTGTCTCACTCAGTCCCCATAGGCTGGACCCCAGCAGCAAGCTAACCTACTGGTTGAAGCATCTGCTCCCTGGTGGTCAGTGCACGTCATCGCGAGCGGTTGAGCGGCCTTAGCATATCATTAGCATATTACGCTTTGATTGGTTGAACAGCCAACTGGACAACCGGACACTTAGCATATTAGGCTTTTATTATAGGATAATCAAGTAGCTCTCCTACCCTGAGGGAAAGAGGAATGACCAGTGGTATGGACAACAATAAGGTAGAGTAAGAGGGGCAGGGCAGGGTGGGACAGCCTCCCTGGCCCAAGACTTGCCAGAATGAAGAGAGGTCATGTGGGTGTCTGGAAGGGACATGCTCAGCAGAGGTGACAGCAAGCACAATGGTCTTAAGGTGAGTGTATGCTTGTGATTTCTGAGGAACAGATGGAGGCCAGAATGACTAAAGGACACTGCATAAGAACAACGGCAGGAAATGAAGCTACACAGATAACCTCTGAGGGAGACCTGCAGGCCATCATTAAGGACTTTGACTTTTACTCTATAAAATGGAAAGTTGGAGGTTTTTCAGTAGAGGAGTAACATGGTCTGTATTATGCTTTAGGATCCCTTTGGCTGCTGGATTAACTCTGAAATTGGGGCAAGAGGTGATGGTTTAGACGAGTGTGGAAACAGTGGAGACAGCAGTAAATCAGGTTTTAGGTGTATTTTGAAAGCAGAGCTGCAGAACCTGCTGACAGACTAAATTTGGAATGTAAAAGAAAGAGGAAATACAGATAGAGAAGCAGCCTACAGGCTGGGCCTGGGGCATTCCAAAATTCAGAACTGGGCAGATAAAGAGCAACTGGCAAAGGAGGCAGAAAGGACCAGCCAGTGAGGTAGAGGAGAACTAAGACACAGTGCATGCTGGAAGTCATTTGTTTCAAGTGTTTCAAGAAAGAAGTGATTAAACTGCCAAATACTAATGGATCAAAGATGAAGACAGTCAAATGGTACAAACTTCCAGTTATAAAATAAGTTATGGAGATGTAATATACAGCATGGTGACTATAACTAATTAATACTGAATTGCATATTTAAAAGTTGAAAACTTCTTATTTAACTATGGTGATGGATGTCAACTAGAATTATTGTGGTGCTCATTTCACAATATACACAACTATCAAATCATTATGTTGTTTACCTGAAACTAATTATGTTACACATCAATTACTCCTCAATTTAAAAGAGATGAATGTACACAGACTGATAGAATTTTAAATAAATGGGAATTAAGTATTTTAAAAGATGAAGACTTAGAGCTTATCACTAGATTAGCAACATGAAGGTCACTAGGCACCTTAACCAGAGTGGCCCTGATAAATTAGTGGGGTGAACACCTGATTGGAGTAGGTTTAAGAGAAAATGGAAAAATAAGATTTTGAGATAGTAAATGTAGAAGACTTGAGCTCTACTGTGAGGAAATGAAATAGTTAGAGGGGGCTGCAGGACTAAGAAAAGTGTGATGAGATGAGAGCCACTACACTTTAAACCAACTCCAAAACTATATAAACCTAGTACACCTAGATTCAAAGAATAAACACTTGTTTTTTACTGTTGTTTTAATTTTTAAAATGGGAGAAAGAATGACTCCTCTTAAATTCTAAAAAGGATACACAGATTCAAGTGAAAATGGCCCACTACCATTTGTATTGATACCCCACGAATTTAGAAAGTCCCCAAAATGAAGAACCACATGCCCAAACTCACAAGGAATGCTTCATTGAACTCAAAAGAGCAAGGAAATTGCCTCTGAAGCTGATGAACACAGTCAAGCCACTGCAGAAACACTGGGCAACGCTCGTTGAGATCATCAGAGTTCTCCCCGTGACCACACCGATCAGCAAACTTGTGACCAAAATCCAGCCACTCCATCTCCACGAGGACCTGGAAACCCTGCAGGGAAGCACACAAGAAAGACCATTTGTGCTTGTCTGTCCAGATTGTGACAGTCCTGGGCCTGGTGTCACTAGCAGTGAACCCTTTAACAGCCTCCCACTAAGCCCATCAGAAGCAGCCCTGGATCCAGCCTCGAGGCTGAAGGCTGCATCCCTGATAAGATATATTTAAGCCAATTTCCCCATTCCCTCAACTTTGTTCCATAATCATCAAAAGGGTACTAAGCCTTTCTTGAGTTAATGTATATTTTTAGCCTCTTTCACTCACTATATGAAAGTTACTATTTTTTTTAAAATATATTTTTTATTGATTTTTTACAGAGAGGAAGCGAGAGGGATAGAGAGTTAGAAACATCGATGAGAGAGAAACATTGATCAGCTGCCTCCTGCACACCCCTTCCTGGGGATGTGCCTGCAACCAAGGTACATGCCCTTGACCAGAATCGAACCTGGGACCCTTCAGTCCACAGGCCGATGCTCTAGCCACTGAGCCAAACTGGTCAGGGCTGAAAGTCACTATTTTTGCCGTAACTGGTTTGGCTCAGTGGATAGAGCGTCAGTCTGCAGACTGAAGGGTCCCGGGTTCGATTCTGGTCAAGGGCACATGCCCAGGTTGAGGGCTTGATCCCCAGTAGGGGCGTGCAGAAGGCAGCCGGTCAATGATTCTCTCTCATCATTGATGTTTCTCTCTCTCTCTCCCTTCCTCTCTGAAATCAATAAAAATATATTTTTTAAAAAGTCACTATTTTCCCCTAAATTTCTTTTTTACTTTTTAATTTCTGTCTTTCATATTATACCTACAAAGAAAGTAATGTTTGTAAAATCTTTCCTAACCTCTGATTTACATATATTTTAGGGTACATTTATGGTTTTTCTTACATCTTTAAGCCATCAGCAGGTTATTTCAGAGTAGAGCTCTTTCTCCACATTATACTGTGGTAATATTTATGACATAAGTATACCAAGTTCCTTCTATAGAAGCCCCATTTTCGTGGAGCAGGGAAAAGTTTTCCAAGTAGGTAGACTACAAAGGAAAATATGCTATATTCTCAATACTTTATCGAAATCTGCGCAATTTAAGAGGCAAAAACTGTGGTAGGCACCACTACAATTTAGCTCAAGGTAAAAGAGCAATGATTTAAAACAAGAAAATTTCACTTTCATTAGACCTATCCACACAACCAAAACTAATCATAAAACCCTCTAATGTGCCCCCCACTCACCCTGAAGTACCAAGTCCTACTCCTTGGATGCACCCACCTCTATGGTTCGGTAATAAGGGTCCAGCAAGAGCTTAGCCAATGCCACAATCTGGGGGGTGCGGTCCCAGCCATCTGAGCAGTGCACTAGCACTGGTCGCTGATCACGGTCCACAGCATGCACTACCAAAAGTGCCGACTTCAAAAGCACAGACAGGTGATGGAGCCATTTTGTGCTTTCAAGAGCTGAGAGCCAACTATAAAGATAAAAACAGAAGGGGATAAGGGAATGCTGACTCTTCTGATTACGTCACTGTGTCATGCCAAATACCCATCAAATTAAACAGCAATTCCCAAAGACTTTCCCTTCAAATAAACATTGCCAGAGCAAACAGAAAACCTGTCTCTGTGTCTTTATAAAACATGTACAAAGATGATGCCCAAACCCTACTATGCAATAGAGCAGCGGTCGCCAACCTTTCAGACCTCACGGACCACCGGCTGGCAACCGCTGCGATAGAGGAAAGCCTTAGAAATAGGGCAGCCATCAATAGGACCACCGGTTGTTTCAAAAATCTTATGGCTAATTTCCCATAAAATTAATATTTAATACTTTTCAGTCTGTGATAGGTATATACCCAGTTTAAAAAAACATAATTCTGGAATCTTCTCTTGAAGAAAATGCAGCCACTTCTGAGATGTAAAACAGAAGATATTTAGATATTTATATTTAATGATCAACTTTATCCAACAAGTTTTCAAAAAAAAAAGTACAGGAAGTTCGTTTAACAGAGACTGGATTCAGCCGGGATCCACAAGACCCTTTTTTCAAAAGGCCTTTAGGAAGCATCAGATCACAAGGATTGCCCCTTGAGAGTAATCACAAGCTGATCACACTTGTCTTTTAACTGTTGACAGTTTGTTTCTTGTCATGAATTCCACCCTCCCTTTCCCCCACCCCCCACCCCAAAAAAGCTCTGATTTCTCCAAAATGTAATCAGATTTGTATTAAAACAACAGTGTAGCCCTTCAAACACTGAGTCAGAGGAGGGAATAAGTACTTCTGCTAGGGGTCTCTGAGAGGGCTGTTGCCAAGATTACTATAAACAACTATTAAACCTCGGGGAATGAGTGTGACTTTTTGGAATAATCCAAGGCGGGGAGGTAAATAGACTACAGAATGTAGTGCATAAGCTTTGATTTCACATGGATTAGCTTGGTCTACCAATCAGACCCTAGATCCTCAGAGGGCGGACACTGTATCTCAGGCATAGCTGAAAATCATGGGTAAAAAAATGAACAAACAAAAAAGCAAAACTCAATCTCAAAACATTCTATCTCCTAAGAGGGACCCGAACACATTTTTTGCTAATGGATAAATTGTTTATTCTCATTCCTCACAGAGTCTTGAAGAAACTAAAAGATAAGCCATAGGAGAGAAAATACTGCATTATTTCCTGGCCCCTGGAGAAACAGTAACTGAGAACAAGTGTGAGGCTCTCTTGACCTGACTAAACTCTTCATACTTACCAGGTGGTGCTGTCCATGCCTGACAGAGAAGCTGCACTACAGAAGCGGCCAACCAAGGAGGTGCTGAGGGACCGCACACTCCGTGCCTATTCTAAAACGAGTAGGAATACACTGTGCCCCAGCCTTCCACAGCCACCAGTGCTGGGAGGCTTGTTTACAGCTGGTCCCACCACTGCCATAGCTTCATTTTTCCTCAAGGGAGGCGTTAGCACAGCATTATAATATAACTTGTTGCCAAAGACAAAGCTGGAGTGGGGGGTTGAAGGACTGAGTGAAAAAGGTGACGGGATTAAGAAGTACAAATCGGCAGTTACAACACAGTCACAGGGATGTAAAGTACAGCAGAGGGAACAGAGTTAATAATATTGTAATAACTATGTATGGTGCCAGGTGGGTACTAGAAAAGTTGGGGGGAACACTTTGTAAAGTATTCTAACCACCATATACTGTACACCTGAAATACATACAAAATAATACTGAATGTAAAAACTGTAATTGAAAAATAAAATTTAAAAAGATAAAGCATTACCTTCTGTACTTTTTTATTTTTTATATTTTTATTGATTTCAGAGAAGGAGAGGGAGAGAGATAGAAATATCAATGATGAGAGAGAATCATTGACTGGCTGCCTCTTGCATGCCTCATCCTGTGCATTGAGCCCACAACCCAGGCATGTGCCCTGACTGGGAATTGGTCCGTGACCTCCTGGTTCATAGGTCGATGCTCAATCACTGAGCGACACAGGCCAGGCAGCATTACCTTCTTTAAAAACCCCCTTCCTTCCCAGACATTCATCTGGACCAACATAGTGCTAAGTACACCCTTTTTACCGAGTTTAAAAACTATCTTGCCCTGGCCTGGAGCACCAATGTACACCACAAGGGCTGTGCATTTCATTCCTAGTCAGGCACAGATCTAGGCTGCATGTTCCATTCCCAGTAGGGGTGCATATGGGAGGCAACCTATTGATGCTCCTCTCTCATATCAATGTGTATCTCCCTTCCTCACAATCTAAAAATCAATAAAAACATATCCTCCAGTGAAGGTAAAAAAAAAATAGCTTTATAATTTTAATATATGGAAGATTAGAGATCAGGTAGTGTTGATTCTATCCCTTTCATTTTAACAGACAGGAAAACTGATACCCACAGATTTGGCCAAAGTCATACAGTGGCAGATCTCCCGAGTCCTCCTGTCTATGCCCCGCCTTTAAGGAAGAGAGCGCTGTTGCCTGGGTTCTGTGAGTGTACAGCAATGCAAGCTGCTAATCCCTAAAGCAGAACATCAAGCTCATTTCTTCCGTCAGGCTTTTCCCCAAGGACAAGTGCTTCACCCTCTGGGCTGATTGCAATTGTGATGAATTTAATCATTTGGTACCAGGAGTTAGCACAAGTGCTTCAGGCAGCCATTTGATTTAATAAATCAAGTAAAGAAGGCTGCAAAACTTGATGTGATCGTGAGTCTACTAAATAGAACCCAAAGAAACAGCTATGGGCTCCAGCACAAATACCAGAAAAGAAAATTCTCTCTTCTTTAGCACCATTTCTGGCTTCCTGAAATGTAAAGCAGGGGCTTTTAAATATTTATGTGTCCATATTTGTTTTACAGAGCATTCCTCCTAATTTATCTTGTATTCAAACAGTTCCCTTGGGAAGAGGGGATGTTCTTTCACCTTCCTCATTGCACATGCCAGCCATTCATTTTTAATAAGCAATAAAAATCATGGTAATGTCTTTAGTAAATGAGAGAGGGTAGTTTAGAAATCAGCTTATGTGAAAAGAATTGACCTAACAGCAAGTTTTAAAAAGTTTAACCCTTTTTAGAACACGATTAATAAACTTTGACTCTTCATGGTAAAACATCCCAGTTCATAGCAGATAATTGTCACTACAGGACGTCAGAAACCAAAAAATTAAATTACTTTGGGCCAAAAGCAAATGTAGAAAAGAAGGAAGAGTTTTTAGAAAAAAAAACAAGAAAGCAATACTTCCATTCTGAGGGCTTCCGTTTGTTATGTGCTGCACATTTTAAACCTTTCAAAGGGCTACATTTTAATCCCAGCTCCTCATTTATGCTGCCATGCTCCTAACACTGAAAGAATACCCACAGAGACTGACAGTAAAACCAAAGTTTACCAAGAAATAGAAGGAACCTCTGAACTCATTTGAAAAGGAAAAAAAAAAAAAAAAAAGGCAATGCAAAATTAAAGCTAAGGCCAAGGTCTTACTTTCCCGGATCTGGCATCTGTGTGCACAGCAACCGCAGAGACTGAAAACTCCTCCGGATTGAATGAATATTTGCCATCCCCATAAACACAACTTCACAGTTGGGGTAATACTCTAGAGAGAAAAACAATAAGTAGAACACAAATACGTTAAATTTAAAGCCCACATGGCCAAATTTAAAAGAAGTAAAATGGCAATAAACAAACCCACTGCAGCTGCTAATGGAACTGCAGTGTTTTGAAGCCTATATTAGCTCAGTCCTTTATTATGAGCGGAAAATAGTGCTTGAAATTTTACCTGTTTTTGCAAAGAAGAAGGTTAGATTTGTGAGGATACTGACATAAAATAGAAGCTGTTACTTAAAAAACATGAATAATAAAAAATAAAAAGATCTATATACTCCCCTCTCCCCCAGGTTTACTTCTTGAGCCTGCGCTAACTTGTAGCTCTGGAATCTCTGAAAACATCCTGGCAGAACAATGCATTTCGTGCATTCAAATTTCACCTTAGTACCACTGCTTTTAATTTTCAGCTTAGATCCCATCTGAATAAGGAGTTTGGTGCCTCAACTTGCTCCATCGGCACACAACTGGCCAAAGGGTTCCTTCTTTGGAGAAAACCAGCATTCAAACAGTAGGTACGTCAGAGGTTAGGAGAGAAGCACTTTGCTACAGTTTTGTATTTACTGCTTCGATTTCCAGGCCAGGTTTTCTAAGTGGAAGCCATGTGAGGAGTGTCTGTAAGACAAGTGATGAGCATACCCACTTGTCAAAGGCAACACAAAGCTCCTAGAAGGCTGAGAAATTGAGCCTTAAAAAAGCCGCTTCCAAATAAGAACAGACATTATGGGAGAGAACTGACTTTCCTTATCACCTAAAGGCTGGCACAAGGAAGGAGGACTATTTGGTTTCACTGTACCTCCACCTCCACTTCTCCCATGAAAAGAGCATAGTGTTAAGAATCCAAAGAGCTCTGGCTCTCTCAAGATAGGCTGGGGAACATGGTTTGCCTTTCATTTCATATTAGGAAGACCCAGTTGGGCACAGGCTGGACTCATGAGGAAAGAATGTTGGGGGACAAAGCACTGTCCATCTCACCTGGGCATTCACAGCCTCCTCCTTTGGCTCTGTTTGCAACAGCTGCAGCATAGGAACGTGCATCCAAAATCAAAAGCTTCTGAGGTTGGATGGCTAAACTCTCTGCTCCTGAAGCATGTGACAGAGAAGAATCTAGGAACATCAGGAGTGGGGAGGAAAAACTAAATGAACCTGTCCCTTCCAGAATTGTGCAAAGTAAGAACCCCAGACACATATTATGGTACAAAAACATAAAATAAAAAAATTAAGTGAAATCCCTAACCAGAACTTCTTTTTGTTTTCTATTTTGCCTATAATCTCCTATACCTTGTTTCTACAACAGTTGTCCTTTAATGAAGCCTGGTGAAATTTTCCTCCATGGTCTGGAGAAACTGCAGGTTCCCTACTACATATATATTCCTGTTACTATGGCAAGAAAGACCCCCAAAACAAAAAAAAAACAAAAAACACCACTCTAGTCCTCTTAAACCAAGTTTGAAATAAGGGGTCTTCTCGTTTATTGCCAAGACCCATGAATCCTCAAACAATCGCATCAATTGAAGCGTTGCTCTCTTCTATAAAACAAATTCTATGTGTTATAAGAAAAAGGCCATTTCAAGAAAAGGTTCTCATCTGCTATAAAAATTGCTGCCAGGAAGCACCTTACCAAACTCCACATCAGAAAGGTCTCCTGCATTGGGAAAGTCTCGAGAACTGTTCCTAGTTGACAGCTTGCTGCCACTCGATCGGGAGTTGGAGGCACAAGCTTTGGCTACTGACTGCACCAGGTGCTCATCATCAGCATTTCGCCAGCCCCACCAGCTGACCTCCGGCTGCCCGCAGCGGGCAATGACAGCTCCATTGCTCTGGTGCCTGTGCAGGGAACAAGAAACAACTGTACCATCCAGAGGCCCCATCCAGATGCTCTGTGCTCGTACCACAGTGAGGTCGTGGATTTTAAATGCCTTAATGAACTGCCTAACTACAGGTAAAAGATGCATTAGCTTCAAGTCCTCTCAGGGCAGAAATCTTATATAGCAACAAAAACAACAAATCCTACCTAGACCTTTCTCAATTATCAGACCATTTTAGAGATCTTTGTAGAGTTACCAACAAAATAATAAATGTATCTTCTTAGAGAAAACAAATTACTATTCATAAAGCAAATGTCTGTATCTTTAAATTTATTTTTGGAAAATCAGGTTAAAAATAATCTATAGATACTACACTAATTCTCCTAATCAATAATGAAGCATTGTTCTCTCCTTCTTATCTGCACCTGAAAAATTTGTTTCCTCACTGATTTCTGAAGGTCCACCGCAGCAATTGGCTGGCTTGGGGATTATTTTCAAAACAAGATCCCACCTTTGGGACCGAAACACTTACCTGGCCCACAGTGAACTGCTTGACAAAATCTCCTGAGATTTCCTGAGTCACAAACTGTTCTTATTATAGGCAAATAAGCTCAATGAGCCAGCTACTCTCTTAGAAGGAGATGAACAGCATAAACCTCAATAAGCCATACTCACATAGATCCTTTTCCAAGAAATAAGATCAGAGTACTCGTAGTCTACTTTAAGATTCTATTAAAACCAAGTCTTTTCCTAACTGGGAATTTTAGTTAGGCAATTTTAGTAATTAAAAAGTTATAAAGTAATATTATTTGGCAATAAAGAGAAATAAAGTCCTAACACATGCTACAACATGGATGAGCCTTGAGTATGTTCTGCTAATTGAAAGAAATCAGTCACAAAAGGCCACATTCTGTATGATTCCATCTATATGAAATGTGCAGAATAGGCAAATCTAGAGACAGAAACAAGTTTACTGGTAACCCAGGACTAGGGGCTTTGGGGAGTGACTACTAATGGGTCTGAGATTTCTTTTTGGGATGGTGAAATGACTAAAACTACCTGTAAGGATGGCTGCACAACTCTGTGAATCTACTTAAAAGAGAAAAAAAGAAAAGATCACTAACTACATATTACATTAAAAGGGAAATTGTATAGGACATCTCCATAAAGCC